GCCACCACACTAGTTTGGGGCTTCATTTCTTCTTATTTGGACTATTGTGAAAGCCTCTTAATTGGTCTTCCTATGTGTATGTATTTACACATTTCATCTCTATTAGAATATAAGCTCCTTGAGAATAAAGGCTATTTTTAAAGCCTTTCTTTATATCCCTAGATCTTAGCAATCCACATGTTTGCAATTGGCTGTTCTCATGCTTGGAATGTCCTCCATCCTCATGAACCTCTCAGAATCCCTAGTATTCTTCGAAGTGAAGTTTTAGTGCCAACTCCTGCATAAGGTCTTTCCTGACTCCCCGTTGCCTCTCCCTGAAATTACTTTGGATTTATTTTGTATGTATTATATACCTTATGTATTATACATCTACTTAACAAACATACATACTGCTTCTCTCAACAGAATGTAAGTTTCTTAAGAGAAGCGTCTATGTTTATTTTTGTCTTTGTATCCCAAGCAAGTACCAAAGAACCTGGCAGAGAATAAGTGCTTAATAAATGCTTGTTGAAAGAATGAATAGATAAGCTTAAAACGAACCAGATCTCCTGATTCACTTTGTCAACTTCCCTTTTTGTAAATATCTAAGATAGCTAAAAAAGAAGCATTCAAGATCAGCATATATCAATCTCGCTTTGGGGCAAATGTATTCATTTAAGTATTTAATTCACTGATTCCCACGATGGCCACTTCCAAGATGTTCCTAAGGGGTGCTGGAAGGTGGTGGTGGGTGGAGGTGCATACACCTGCATGCATACCAGCACAAGAGTGTTCTTCTAAGCTCCTACTATGTGTCAGATACCGTTCTAAGCACAGGGATAGGGGATACAACAAAAGGCAAAAGACAGTCCCTGCTCTCAAGGAGCTTACAGCTAATAGGGGAGACAAGATGCAAACAATTATGTTACAAACAAAATACATCAGGACAATCTGGAGATAATCAACAGAGGAGAAGTACTAAGGCGAATCAAAAAAAGAAGGCAGGATTATGCCCAAAGGGCTATAAAAATGTGCATACCCTTTGACTCAAGAATAGCACTTCTAGGGCTGTATCCCAAAGAGATCATACAAATGGGAAAAGGACCCATATGTACAAAAATTTTTATAGCAGCTCTTATTGTGGTGGCAAAGAATTGGAAATTGAGGGGAGGCCTATCAATTGGGGAATGGCTGAACAAGTTGTGGTGTGTGAATGTAATGGAATACTATTGTGCTATAAGAAATGATGAACAGGCAGATGTCAGAAAAACCTGGAGAGACTCATATTGTGAAGTGAGCAGAACCAGGAAAACGTTGTACACAGTAACAGCCATGTTGTGTGATGACTAACTTTGATAGACTTAGCTCTTCTCAGAAATGCAAGGATCTAACACATCTCTAAAAGTCTCATGATGGAAAATGCTGTCCACATCCAAAGAAAGAACTATAGAGTCTGAATGCAAATCAAAGCATACTATTTGCTCTTTTTTTCCTTCTGTTTCTTCTTTCTTATGATTACTTCTATTGATTCTAATTCTTCTTTACAACATGACTAATGTGAAAATATGTCAAATAGGCATGTATATGAAGGACCTATATCAGATTGCACGCCGTCTTAGAAAGGGAGAAGGGGAGGGGGGGGGAGAAAATTAAAAACTCAAAAGCTTATGGAATTGAATGTTGAAAACTAAAAATAAATTTAAAAAAATTAAAATCTTAAAAAAACCTTTTGTCCAAAAAAGAAAGAAAAGACAAGAAAAGATAAGAAAAGATGAGAAAAGAAAAGAGAAGGAAAAGAAAAGAAAAGAAAAGGTAGGACTTTAACTGAGACCTAAAGGATGCAGGAAAGCTAGGAGGTAGAAATGAGGAGGGAAGGTACGTAGGAAAGAAAAGGGAGAGTAAAGATTTCTTCCCTCCAAAATTTAGAAGTTAAGAGGGAGAGAAAAATAAGACTAACTACATGATAAATCTAATCACATAAACATGAAAAAAAAAGAATGAATAGTTGCTTATCTCTATAGACCACATTAAATGAAATTACTATGTTAAAGGATTTCAAACAAGTAGAGTTATATCCCGTGACACATAATATAAAATCACTCCCAGTCTCAAGGAAAATAAAATGAATTATTAACTATAGCATAGGGAAAACTAAAGGCAAGCAGCTTATAAAAGTTGTGTTTATCAAAAGATATAAGAGATCATGCTAATTTGGATAGGAGGAATTTGTAATCGGAAAGAAAACTGGCATGAATAGGAAGGATACCACATTAAAAAGCACCACAGATGTTTCTCAGTAAGATTATTAATCACTAAACAGAAAGAATGTCATCAATAAATTTAAGATTTTAACCAAACTTGAATATATCACATTCTCAATTAGATTTATGTGTGTGTGTGTGTGTGTGTGTGTGTGTGTGTGTGTTTGTAATTCAATTACAATTTTAAAAGCCAGAATCTCCAACTATATTCTGATACAACTGCCTAGCCTTCTCATTGGGAAATTTCACACTGGCCAGTGTATGGATTTGTTCCATGTGTGCGTACAAGCAACCCCTCCCCCCCCTTATATGTTAAGTTTTTTTATAAACTTCCATGGGATGTGTATTTTTAAAAGTATCTGATAAAACTGAATAGAATGTGTTAAACATCAACTCCCAGGCTGTGTTCTCACAAAACTCCAGTGGAGTACAAGTATCTTTATCCTAATTTACAGAAGAAAAAACTGAAGCTCTGAAGTGAAGTAAATGGTCCAGGATCACATAGGATCACATGAGCAAAACCAAGGCTCAATCCTAAATCCACTAATTCCAAATCCAGTGCTCTTTCTACCACACTATACTGTCTCCACAGCAAATTAACAAGTAAAGGACTTGTTTCAAATAAACAGGCAAAACAAAGAGAGGGAGGGTGTGTGTGTGTGTGTGTGTGTGTGTCTGTGTCTACATCCACTTCCTGGAGTCATGAGTCAGGTGAGCTTTTTTTTTTTTCCGTTATGACTGGAATACTAAGATGACAAATGCTGAGAAGAGTTGAAGAATAATTTCAATTTCATGCATAGGTTTAGAGCTACAAAGCACCTTAGTCCAACCCCTTTATTTTATAGTTGAGGAAATTGAGGTCTGGAGACTGAACAAACACACAAACAGCAAATAAAAAGATAATGTTTTTTTGTAAACAGTGACTTTAAATATATGGGGATCAAAGAAAGCACTTATTTCATAGGGCTATTTATTGTAACCAGCTCAATAAAACATTACTTTTTTTCTGTGAGGCTTAGAAATAACTTTGTTTTGCAGAATTTTGTAATTGGACTTTACCCATATCCGACTGCAAATCACAGTTACTTTAGAAAACCACTAATCCAATGCAAATAACTTTGATATATGATTTAGTAAATGCCTCATCATTAGTAATACCTAGGAGCTTTTCAATTTTCTAGGAAGTTTTACAACTTCAGGCTTACAAGAAGGAAGACAAGAAAGGCTAGAAACAAGGGATGTGTTTATGGGTAGCCAAACTAAATCAGATGCCTAATAATCCATAACTTTGAATAAGCTGAATTTTTATAAGTGTCAAACTGACTTCGGAAAATTATTTCCTCTAATTATAAAATGTACTTAATTTCATTACTTTACCCACATTCAATTCTATGGAAAATATTTTCTATATATCTTATTTATCTGTGTTTGGATTTCAAGGCATGTCTGGACCAAATCTCATGTTTTTCCTATCCAGACAATTTTCACTTCCAGTCAGTTTCCCTAAAACATAAGCCCTATATTTTTCCAGTTGTCAAGTACAAATCCCTGTACAATTTTGGACACTGATTCTATTACTGAAATAAGATACAATCTACCAACAATATAGATGCAAACAAGAGAAGAAATGGAAATTTATCTGCATTAGCAACACTAGCTGCCAACAGCAAAGGCTAAGATGACATGAACCGCTCTAGCTAGATCTCAAAGCCAATTCTCTAAAGATAATTTAAAGTAAGTCACATCTGTAGCTATCACCTTGCCAACCACACAGCCCATGGAAAACTGAGTGACTTTCTAAATCACAACCGCTTAAATTTTTAAGTGTTTTCTCCACCCCTCCATTCATAGCTAGTGTAACATCTATTCATATTGCAGTTAATATAATCTCACATTAATGTACTTCAGTATATGATTTTTTTTTATTAAACTCAAAGAAAGTGGTTAACAGATAAACACAAAGTGCACAGAGAACACAAAAAAATATCTTGACTGTGAGAGGTAGACTATGCTCTTTTATGATTAATTCACATCTAATTTTAAACACCTTTGCTACATCTAGTATGAGGAGTCTGGGAACAAATTCAGATTGATACATTTCCTACCAAAGCTGTGGAAGAAAATCCCCAATCAATCATCCTGTTTCTAACTCTAAGAAGCAATTTAGGATATAGAAAGGAGAAGGAGATGCAAAACAGTGACATGTGCCAAATTCAAGTCCCTACCTTCTAAAGCAGAAGTGAACAACTATTTCTGCCTTCAGGATAGCCCTACATTGTCCTGTTAGGCACAGCTATATGGCAACAAGTGGGGTAGAAGGTTCTGATGAGCTTATAGATTATTTTAGTCCTTTATTGTTCTACATGCCCAGAACACAATAAAAAAGGATTGGATTTGCACAATGAAGTGTACACAATTTATCTGTATGGCTGGTGAGAACTGTAAAATAATATGGGATTTCACTAAAATGGTCTATGATATGAATGCTTCAAACACTTGTTAGGTAGGGGTAATATCATTCATTCACAAGCAGCTTTGGAACTAGGCTAGAGGTTTGAAGGCTGGGAGTACTGATTACACATTCTAGCTGAGTGGGAAAACAAATTCTTCTTTAAAAGTCAGTGCCTCCACCTAGAATTCTATGAGGAACAAGAAGAAAAATCGATACAAAGGTCATTTTACCTCTTCCATCCAATACCAATTTAATAAATTCAATTTACATCAACATTTACTAAGCACTTACTACCAAACATTTCTTACCTGTTAACACAGTAATATCGACTCTGTGGGATATACGATGTGCACTGAGTTTTTAACCGCTTTCTTTCAACCTCCTTCCAACTATTTTCTGTCCATTTTCTCTTGTTCTGTTTATCCATATGTTTTTTTTCAACATACTCAGCATAAGTCTGGATCCGATAACTTTCTGCATACTTGCTGGTATTGACAGCTACCAAAAAAAAAAGTTTCTTTACATAAAAATTGCTTAATTTATTCCAGAAACATTATCTCTTTCATTTCTTCAAATATACATAAAAAACAGAAAATGTTATTAGTTTGAAAAGTATACAACCTCAGTAGTAACAGCTAACATAGCCTCTGCTAGGTGCACAGTAGATAGAATGCAAGTCTTGGAATTGGAAAGACCTGGGCTCAAATCTGGCCTCAGATGTTGCCTGGCTGTGTGACCCTGAGCAAGTCACTTTAATTTGTCTGCCTCCGTTTCCTCAACTATAAAATGGGGATGATAATAGCTCCTACCTCTCAGAGTTATTGTGAGGATCAAATGAGATTATATTTTTAAAGCACTTAGCACAATGCCTGGCACATGGCAGGCCCTTAATAAATGCTTGTTTCCCGCCTCCCTTCCCCAGATCAAATACAATAAAACCCAATTATCCTGGACTTGGTAAATTGAAGATTTATAATAATCAGCTATGTCCTCCCTTTCTTACTATGTATTTCTCTCCTCATTCTTCAAGGCTGCTAGTTCTCATCCCTACCTCCCCCCACCCCAATCTATCAGCACCTGGACTTAAAGGGCTATAGTTATATTCTGGCTTCCCTATCCTGACTTTGTGCCAGTTTCAACCCCAAAACATAAGCTAGATACTATGCTGCCACTTCCTCTTCCATACAGTCTCTGTTGGACAGGACATTATGGGGCTATAAAACTATAAGAAAAAAGGAATAAAAGATCTACTGGCAGATGGGCACTGCTTAATTACTACCCTCCCTCCTGCATGTTTCTGCTTCTCTCCCAACTCACTACCAGTGCCCAAAAACGTTCATCTTTCTCAGAGGTGAGAGAGTAAAAGCCTCTCCTTTCAAGGCAGTCTTGGTGTCCAGGAAGTTCAAAAAGCACTACAGGAAGAGCAGTAGCAGGAATTACCAAGGGGATGGCAAGTATTTATCTTCTCTCAGAGCTTTCAAAGCAGCTGCCTGTTGCCATACTAGAGATCCTTAGAAGGTGTATGAAGGAGAGGCTCCATTTATTTATACAAATAATGTAAAATTATACATGTGGATAATAGTAGAAAAACAAAACAAAACTGATAGGTTTTTCTGATTTCAATCTAGGTAGCTCAGGTCTACCTGAAGCTTTGAAGGTGTTTGCGTGGGGTAGGGGTGGGAAAGCACTAAAGCTCTAACACATAACATTGGTTCCGGAGTTCAGTCTACATGCCATATGCCAAAAGAAACCATTGATTCTACAATCACTGTGCTTTCCAGATTGCTTCCTGGCAAAAGAGAGCTTCCTGAATTTTTTCTTGAAGTCTCTTTACTTAACTCAGCAGGTTTACTTTGCAAGTGTGTCTGAAAAGGCCCATGTTGGCAATAATCTTTTTCTCAAGATTAATTTTGGTTACAGAGGAAATAAAAAAGTTTTGACTCAATATTTTACATAATGACAAGGATGATAATAGGCTCATTAATGAGCCAAGCTGATATCTTAATAAGTATTATTATTCCAAATAATTCCAAGTATAATTATTCCAAACAACTACTTCTCTGCAGAGAAGGGATTTATCTCAACATATGGAGTATTAGGATCATTTAAAAAGAAAAGCCAAGATGGAGGGGAAGGGAAGAACAGCACGCTTTCACTTCTGGCCTGCACACAGCAACAATTTACCAACATTCCTTCAAGTCCCAGAAGCTTTGCAGCTCACAGCCTTAAATCTGCAAGCCAAGCTTTGGCCCACAGCCATCACTCTAATGGATGAATCAGCAAAATAAATTGGCTGTCAACTGGTGTCCTCCCGTTTCCAGTCTGACTGTTTAAAAGAGTGTACCGCAGACTGGTCAGTCATATTCTAACCTTTTACAAATTAGCTGATGAAATGATACAAGGCCGCTTTTAGGTTATACTTCTCAAAAACAGTTTGGAAACAATTATACTAATAACCACTAGAGACTATATATTTATATGTATATATACATATATATATGTATGTATAGATATGGATATAGATATAGATATATTACAGAAGTCAATGCTATTTCTCTCACTATCTGTCCATGTCTTCTATTTGCATCTGTCATTTGTTTCCTAAGACAATTTCATTTTTATGAGTTAAATGTCTCATTTAAAAAATATTTCAGTGCTATTTGTCTTAAAAATCTAAGAGATACTTCATAGTCCATTTTCAACATGAGGAGCATAAATTGGGCCTTAGCTTAGAAATAAAAATAGCTACAAGATTTATCTCATGATAATGTCTTTATGGGCTATGAATTAGTACTGATGGAATGGGGATTTTATCAAGCTTTCCTCACTAAACTAGGAATATATTACCATTCAGACTACAGACCTCTGAAATATTTAATGACTTATGAAACTTCCATAGCAACGAAAACTGTCCACATCATTAATTCTATAATCTCAGTAAACTGTATCAATACCTAGCATCATTTTCAATTTCTAATAAAATTATGTAAGCACTATCAATTAAATGGTCATGGGCTTACCCACTGTGTGGGATAGAGACCACCTATCCAAAATAAAATTCAGAGGTTTCTCTCGGTAGAAAGAAGTTTTATTCTTGCGAGTCTCCATACTACCCAGGGCGGAATGGAGTAGGGAAGCAAGATACAAGCAGCAAGCAAGCAGTTATATACCCCTAGACAAACAATTCTAAGAAAACCCCACCCTCCCACCTTTTAACCTGAATCTCTTTATCCCCATTGGTTGATGTAAGAGGCCTTAAGTTCTACCCAGAAACTAAGAGATACATTTTACCCAAAACAAGCTTGGAAGCTAGAAGATTGCCTTATTTGGCAAAGATAAGGCTGGGGTGGTGGTTACAAAACAAAGGAGGTGGTGGGCAACAGGTATGTGACCTGATCACATGATTTACAGGAAACCAAGACTTGGGCCCGGCTAATGCTTTATAAAGCCTTAACTAAATTTTGGGGCATAGCTTCCATTTCATATGAGAAACTTTCAGTTGTCCCACACACCCACTAATGGAAAAACTCCAGGTCACATGCAACTCTTACCATCCATCAACACCACCAAAAATAATTCCAATCCAAATTCAACAAATATTTCCTACCCACCAATTTTGTGCAGAGCACCAGGTGAGGGGAGGAAAAGTTTAGATTAAAAAATGGCCATTGCCTACATGTAGATTGAAGTTTAGTAGGAGGACATGATAAAAGACAAATAATTAGAGTATAAAATAATACACAAAATTTTGTGAGAGGTGCCCTAAACATGTTATTTAAGATCCATAAAGCAAAATGTATTCTTTATTTATGGGATCAAGTTGGTGCTGGCATTTGAAATGGGCTTTAAAAAAGACAGGTAAGAACAGTAGGAGTCAGGGAGAGACACATAACATGAGGATGTGGGAAAGTACCAGTCATATATGAGAGCACTTCAGTTTGGCTACAGCACAGACTAAAGGGAACTGTGAAAGATAGAGCTAGAAAGGTAAGATTGTGAAGGGCCTTGAATACCAGGAAAAGGAATATAAACTTCAACAAAAAGGCAATACAGAATGATTGAAATATTCTGAACAGATGGCTGAACTTACCAGGTCTACACCTAATTTTGATGTATACATTTTCAAGAGATTTCTTTTATACATGAACCCATATGGACACAAAGAACATAAGTTTGAGAATATAGATGCTTTTTTTTTTACTTATTAAGAACACCAGAGTGAAATGTTTGCTTAAAGTTAAAGTTGGTGTTTCACAATATGCAAGACTCACCCCTTTCAAATTTCCCAATGCAAGCCCCACCCTCAATAAGGGCTGCCTTTAATTAACAACGATGGTAAAGTCAATTTCTTCAGCCAGAAATATGGAGAGAGCAGCATCTGCTTTGAAGGCTCTTAAAATGGCATTTAACTCCACCAGTTAGGGCCAGTGCTACTTTATTACACTGTCATTTTCAGCTCTCAACTTTTTGGCATTATACAGGCATATGGTCAGCATTTGATCATTTGATAGTAGATGCTCAAGTTCTTTAAAGAAGAACCTACTTGGTTTGAAAAGCATCTAATTCATTGGTAAAGACTTGGCAATGTTTCTCTTATACGACATATAACTGTACATGAAAATGAGGGGTGTGTGGTAGATTAATGGTTTCTTAAAATGTCACCCAAAATAGAAATGACAGTAGATTCTTGGGATGCATAATAGAGCAAACTCTCAAAGACTTAAGAGAAGTAATAATAGTCACTATAAACATCATATATATAAAATATATATATATATATATATATATATATATATATAATACACACACACATATACTGAAAAAAAAAACCCAATTAACCACTATTTCCCTTCAACCATTACTAGATTAAACAGACATACTATTCACATTCTTTTGGATCACTCATACAAAGACAAAAATTTTCTTCATCAACTCATGACCCTGTAAAACACTGGGAACAGCAAATGAGTAAGGTTATATTATTAGCTGAAGCCTAAATTTATATGTGTAGATAATGGCTAAAGAAAAAAAAATCCTGAGAGAACATATAAATTCCCAAATTTATACCTTGTGCAGATATTTAACCACTTCTTTCATTAGGTACCTAATTCAAAAATACAACATGCATATATTTAAGTAAACAGACATAATGAGATGTATTTATGCACATATATAGATATACAGATATAAGAGAAAGAAGTGTTTATAAGACCATGATTAGTTACAATTTTCTAATCTCATTTCATGAGACTTGATTACTAATTTTATACATTCTCTTGCATGTCTGAATACTGACATTGTAGTCTGCTAAATAAGAGAAAAAATTATTTTTTTACTGCATTTTGGGTGCTACTACTAGATTATTTTTTTCTTAAGCAGAGGGTCAAGGAGTGGAGTGGAGAAAAGGCTATATTTTCAGCCATAGATAAACCATGATGTTACAAAATTATGAAGTTAATTTTTCCCATTTATAAAATTCACGCAAATGAGCTGATGGA